GCGAGGGGGCGGAGGGGGAAAGAGGGGAGCACAAGCGAACCAAAACCGCCGCTGCCGTGTGCTAGTGTGTAGGAGGCTACTGCCTCCTACGGCTACGGGTCATGCTAATGCAACAGCCGGCTTTGGTGCTACTGTTGGGTTGGCTGAAGTGCTACTGCTGCTGCTACTGCTGTGGTGGTGTTAGGTTTGGGAGGACGGTACGGCGTTTCAGCAGCTGGCGGCGCGGAGGGCGACTTTGACGGCCACCAAGGAGGAGGTGATGGCGGCACAAAAGGTATGTACGGCAGTCAGCCGAGCCCCTCTCTAATCTGTCTCCGCAGCCCCTCCTGGTTTGAGCTCTGTCCGTCTTGGTCCAAGTGCTACCCGTGCAGCTCCTCATCTTTACGTACTGCTACTGCCACTGCTACTGCCGCAGCTTCTTAGAAAACGGCTAGCCCCGCCCCCCTCCGGACCCCGGGGAGGGGGAGGGGGCAGTAGCTCGGGGCCAGCAGCAGCAGCAGTAGCCACGCTGTCGGGCGCGGGAGGCGAGGAATCTAATTCCGTCTCCGTACACGATTTGCCGTACATGAGCGGGCTGGAGTTCGTGGCAGCGGACGAGGTGTATAAGGTAACGGCTCCGAGGTCTGTGGCTTTTCTTGTGTTGTATGTGTTTTTGTGTTTGCCCTGGTGTTGTGGTCGCCGCCCCTGTCGCTTCCAGAAGTGCACGTGCGCCCGTACAGTATTGGCCTTTTCCCCCTTCGTCCCCCTCTCCCCCCCCCGGGGGGCCCCCCGGCCCGGCAGGCGGTTACTTTGTCCTGTTCCGATCACACGGCCATTCTCAATCTCACCCCCCGCCCATTCGATTTCCCCCCTTTGAGCCCCACACCCCAATCCGGAACACACAGACAGACACAGAGACAGACAGACAGACGCACATGGCCTCCCCTTCCCTCTCTCCCCTCCCCCTCTCCCTTCGCACAGACCCGTCTCGCCGTACTGAAGCGCGAGGAGGAATCCCTGCGGGAGGAGGAGGAGAAACTTAACCGGGAGAAGATCCGGCAGGTCGGGGGGGTGGGGGGGGGCAGGAGGTGTTTGGCTGCCTTGGGAGGGGGTGGTGTAGGGGTGTGTGTATGTGTGTGTGTGTGTGTGGTGTGTGCACATTCCCTTCTAGATTCCCTCCACCCCCCATTCTTGGCAAGTACGGTGTTCCTTCATTCCCAGCCGTCGTTTGCTCTTTCATAGCTGCCTCCACCCATCGAGGGGTTCATGGCAGCATACATGTATTCCAAGATGGCGAGGTGGGGTTGAGTGGGGTGGGGGGAGGTGAAACCCTAAAACCCTAAAACTTGTCCGTAACTATTACCCCTTGTCCCTTCCCTTCCCCACCCCTTCCATCCGGCCCGCCCCACTCAATTCCCCAGCTCCCGAAACCACGATACCCTCCCTCCTTCAAAACCCCAAACCCCAGATTCGTGCCGTCAAGCTGTCACGCGAGGAGGACGCGTCCCGGTTCGGTCGTTGGCCCGTACTTCCCGACCGCCCGGGTCCCGAGGGGCGGCCCCGCTACGTGCTGATGAACCTGCTGGGGAAGGGCGGCTTCAGCGAGGTGTTCAAGGTGCTTGGGGGGAGCCGGCGGGGGCTGGGAGGGGAAGGCAAGGGGGGTTTGGGGCGTGTGTGTATGAGAAAGAGAGTGTGTGTATGTGTGTGTATGTGTGTGTATGTGTGTGTATGTGTGTGTATGTGTGTGTATGTGTGTGTATGTGTGTGTATGTGTGTGTATGTGTGTGTATGTGTGTGTATGTGTGTGTATGTGTGTGTATGTGTGTGTATGTGTGTGTATGTGTGTGTATGTGTGTGTATGTGTGTGTATGTGTGTGTATGTGTGTGTATGTGTGTGTATGTGTGTGTATGTGTGTGTATGTGTGTGTATGTGTGTGTATGTGTGTGTATGTGTGTGTATGTATGTGTATGTGTGTGTATGTGTGTGTGTGTGTGTATGTGTGTGTATGTGTGTGTGTATGTGTGTGTGTGTGTATGTGTGTGTGTATGTGTGTGTGTATGTGTGTGTGTATGTGTGTGTGTATGTGTGTGTGTATGTGTGTGTGTGTTCCTCCCTTCCAGTCTGCGTCCTGGAATCTCGGGTCATCACTATCACACGGATGTGCACAAGGGCTGCTGCTGTTGTGAGTTTGGATCTGGATTTCTTGTAGTAAAGTGAGGTTCCGTACGTATTGCTCTGTGTACGGCAGGCGTACGACCTGGTGGAGGTTCGTCCCGTGTGCGTCAAAATCCATGCGCTGGCGCCTGGTTGGCCCTCCGCTAAGAAGGAGAGCTATGTACGACATGCAATACGGGAGTACGACATACATCGCAGGTACGCACGCGTATGTGTCTATCCACGCGTTCATGTGTGTGCGTGTATGCGTTCCCGCCCTTCCTTCGCGTCTTCCTTCCCCGTCAGTTACCCTTCACAACCAACTGGCACCTCGGCGGTTGGAGTGGCTGCGTCGGTTGCGGTTGTGTCGGTTGTCCTTTGGGGCTGCTGCGGCTGCTTCCCCTTTAAGGAGCAAAGTGAGGAGGAGAAGGGAACTTTTGATTGGTTTGTTGAAAAGACAATTTGACCGTTGGAAACCGTTGGAAACCCTTTCCCCCCCAACCCCCCAACCCTGACCCCCCCCCCAACCCCGCAGCCTCCGTCACCCCGCCGTGGTCACCTTGTTAGACGTGTTGGAAATCGATTTGGACACCTTCGCCACCGTACTGGAGCTTTGTGAGGGCGGTGACCTGGAGGGTGTGATGAGGGAACACAGAGTAAGGGGGGGGGAGGGTTTTGGGTGGGGGAAGGGGGAGAGGGGAAAAGGGGGGGGGGGTAAAGAGGGTTTTCCATTTCCCTCCTCGCACATGCACATACGCATTTCGACCCTTTCCACCTTTTCTCCCGTTCGTGGTTCGTCTTTACCACCTTTTCGCCCACTCCTCTTTCCCGCTCTCCCTCTCCTCCCTCATTCGCGGTTTGTCTTTCCCCTGCCCCCCCTCCATCTCCAGACGCTTCCTGAGCGCGAGGCGCGCTGTGTGATGGCCCAGATATTCTCCGGCCTGCGCTACCTGGCCTCCCGCCGGGTGATCCACTACGACCTGAAACCCGCCAACATCCTGTTCGACGTGTTGGGACAGGCCAAGATCACCGACTTTGGACTCAGCAAGGTGCGGTGTGTATGTACGTATATATGTATTTACGTATGTGTGTATGTATGTGTGTTCGTACACACTCCCATGCTGCCTCTTCTCCCCGTGCCCAAGTTTGGTACTTTGGACATCCGCGATAGAGTTCGATTCCCCCCAACCCCCGGCCCCCTCCCTCTCACACAGCAAGTCTCGGAGGGTCAAACTCTGGCGGGTATTGAGTTGACCAGCCAGGGCGCTGGCACGTACTGGTACCTGCCCCCGGAGGCGTTTGAGACCGGGGGCCCCGCGCCCCCTCGAATATCTAGCAAGGTGGGGTCGGCAGAGGTGTGTCTGTGTGCGTGTATGAGACCTTGAGGGGGGTGAGATGAGGGGAGTTATTAGGGGGGGAGTGAGGAGGGGGGGAGTGACGAGGGGGAGTGACGAGGGGGATGCGGGAAGGGGTAAAGGGGAAGCGGGAGGGGAAGGCAGGGTTTAGGTTGACGCGGTCAAAAAGTCGCCATCCAGTTACTCTGTTGCTGCTGCTGCTGCTGCTGCTGCTGGGGGTGAATTGCAGTTGGACGTGTGGTCGGCTGGCGTCATCTTCTACAGCATGTTGTACGGAAAGAAGCCGTACGGCGAGGCCATGAGTCAGGAGCAGATGCTACGGGAGCGCGTAATGGCCGTACCCCGGGAGGTCGACTTTCCCGCCCGACCCCCGGTACGTACGGCATGTGTTTTTGTGTGCGCGGGACCGGAGGGGGCCGTTGAAGGGTTTGGTTTGGGGGAGTGGGGGAAATGAGATTTGACCCCATCCCAATTGTTCTCGCGACGGCAGTTGCTTGTTTGACTGCATGCAACACATGATTCCCCCCTCCCCCTCCTCCCATACACATCCCCCTCCCCTCCCCCCCGTCTTTCCCCTCCCCCCCCCAACCGCCCAGGTGAGCTCGGAGGCCAAGGACTTCATTCGGCGGTGTCTCGCCTGGAACCAGGACAACCGACCAGATGTGGAGGCGGCGGCGACGGATTCGTACATCACAGGATGTACGGCAACGACCGGGACCGCGATAGCGGCGGTGGTGGGGTCCGGTAGCGGCGGCGGCGGCGGCGGCAGTAGCAGCACCAGCAGCAAGGGGGGGGACGCCGCCTTGGGTTTGAGACTGGCGGTCGTTGCGAACAACGGCCGCCGGTGAGCACTTGTGTGGGACAAGAACCTGCTGTGCTCTTAGCTGCCGTGTATGTGTGTTACAAACAAGTAGTCTGCGAGAGACGTATCGCGGCAAGATTTCCTATGACTATCTGATCAGATCAGATCTGATCTGGCTGTCTCCCCCATCACGGCCTTTCCACCAACTGAGCGGACCAGCATTCTTCCTACGGGACGTTGAGAGGCAGCCGGCTCTGCAGTGAGTGGCACATATGAGCGATGACATGGGGGCGCGGCACCCCTGCGGGCTGTGGGCTGCTGCAGCGGCAGTGGCTCATGTCTACTACTGTAATGAGACTGAGACCGCGGCTGACTACTACTAGCTTTGCATGGCGGCGGTTGCGGTAGCCGTCGATATCAGTACTGCGGCAGCAGTGAGCTTGCTGGCGCACAGCGTTGTTGTGGTGGTGGTGATGGTGGTGGTGGTGAGCACTGCGGCACTGGGGGGCCACCACGCGACCAGCAGAAAGCTCGCCATCATCATCGTGATAAAGACATCGCCCTCAATCTGTAACGGAAGGCTACTCGAGGGACTCCCTTCAATCTGTTTCCGATTTCCAGAATTCCGACCTTGTATGTATGCATGTATGTCCTATGACCTATGTATGTATGTCCCTCTCACGCCGAAGCGTGTAGTAGTTGTGGTGCGGGTATCTCCTTCCCGACATGTCTTCAATACGTTTAAAGGCAAGGCATCACGGGAAGGAGGTTCCCGCATCGAGCCCGACAGTGTGCACTACAGAAAAGTCCCTCGACTGGGGGTGGAAGTGCCCCATGTCGATGGACAGTGATGGAACCGGTGATAGCGACACCGCCGCCGTTGATATGGGGCCAGATTCCCCTGTACGAGCTGGAGGTGGTTGTGTTGGTGGTTGTGTTGAGGAGACTGATGAGGGTGCTGACGTACACCCCCACCCCCCCCCGGGGGGGGGAAGAGGATGTCGTGGCAACAGGGGTGAAGCTGCCTCGCGCACAGTCTCATACCCCCGCAGACTTCACACAGTCGTGTACATACACAGCAAGCGTAGATATACATACGCACACATACAGAAAACACAAGAGCTTCATCACCGTCCCCCCAAAGGCAACCGTAACGTACGTTTCTCGGTGTACAAATCGGCAGCCGCAGCTTACGTAAGCGGCGCACATAGCAATACACATACATACACATACATACATATGTTTGTATGTATGCATGTGCATAAATACATACATACGCTCTCACAATTGGAGCCCTCTCGCCCCCTTGGTCAATCGATCTACCATTAGTGCTATTCCCGCAGGCGGGGGGGAATCCTCCACCTCCCGCCCCACCTGCACCGCTGCTACCGCCACCACAACCGTCCTCCACCAAACCCACCTCTCACTCTCGACTCCAGCTACGAGGCAGGTAGTGGTCGCACTCACACCCCACAAAGGAAGAATCCCCCTCCCTTCTCCCCCCCCTCCCCGGCAACCTTACCGCACAATAACGAACTTAATAGCTCACACCGCACGGCATTGCCCATCTATACCCACACACACACGTGCACATCAACATCCACACACACTCCTCCACGCAACCACCCATTTCATCACATCTCCCCAACCCAGCACAGCTCGAACCCGGCCACGTCGTCTGCCGTACTCTAGCCGTACATCTACAGGTCTGCATACGGATCCTGTTCCAGACTCCACAAGGGAGCTCTGGCACCTGACCCCCTGCCCCTCCCCCTGCCCCTCCCCTCCCCCCGGCCGCCCCTGCCACTGCCAACCCCCCCCTTGCGGCCCCCCTTCTTCACCCCACCATCGCGCACTCCAGGAGGCGCCCCTCGGTCCTGCACATGGGGGTTGGGGGTTGGGGTTAGGGCTGGGGGGTGGGGGTGGGGGGAGTGGAGTTGCACATGAACGAACAAGTGGGGTGTGGCAGTGTGTGTTTGCAGTTGCGTGTGTGTTTGTGTTTCCGTGCGCGCGTCTTTGCACGGGGGTTGTTTATTTGACCGTGTAGTGGGTTGGGGGGGGCCGAGCGAGGGGGCTTCGTCCGAGCGCAGGCGGCGGCAGCAGCTCATGCATCCCTGGTTGTGTGGTGCTGGCGGTGGTGGCGATATGCATCAGCGAAGGGGAGTTGGTGGGGGTCGCGATAGGGGGCGGGGGGGTAATCATGTGCAATATCGGTAGAGGGGGATGGCGGTGTCCCAATTCTCCCCCCCACCCCCCCACCCACACTCCACCCCCCCACCCAGCAACTCGCCTTCCCTCGCCCCGAGGTCGCACCGCCGCGGCGGCCCCCCCTGGGGCCCCCCCGGCCTCCTGCTGCCGGTCCCCCCCTGCCGCCGCCGCCTCCCCCAGCCGCTGTCCTGCCCAGTCCTGAAACCACGGGCACGAGCTGCCCGGATTTGATCGCCGCCTCCCACTCCTGAAGAGAAGGGAAGCAGATATGAGTACGGGTATGACACGGTACGACAGGGTTTTAGGGTTATAGGGTTATAGGTGCAAGTAAGGGGACTGACGGTGTTGGAAAGTGACCGACACCCTTATATACCAGAGAATGGTGACATCAGTAAAAGGACCCCGGGGGGGAGGGGGGGTCCGGCGGCGCTTTGCTGTGCCTTAACAAACGGAGCCCTCCCCCTTTAGTTCCCCCTCCTCACCCCCCTCACCCCCCCTCACCCCCTCACCCCCCTGGGCCCCCCCTCACTCTCACCCGGTGGTATTTCTGGTAGAGGTAGAGGGCGGCACGCGCGTCGTCCACGGGTGTGTGCTCCCCCTCCTGTATGGTAAGGCCCAGGTGGGTGGCGGCGAGGTCCTGTACGGCAGGGGGGGGCGGAGGGGGGGCGGGGGGAGGAGTAGCTGGGAAAATAGTCAAGGAACGACTGCCGACACACTCCAGGTTGCCGAAGTGAGGCAGTGGGCAGGAAGAGGAGGAGGAAGAGGAGGAGGAAGAGGAGGAGGAAGAGGAGGAGGAAGACACGGAAAGAGGCGGGGGATATATTCGGAGGGCAATTACATTATTTGATATTTAATCTCAGCCGCGATACGATAATGTGTGTCTGTGTGTGTGACTGATACCCTCTTACCTTGAGCGATGCCGAGACCTTCCTGCCCCCGGGCAGCTCCTTCATAAGGCCCGGGTATTTGGCCGTGTCCCGCAGCAGCGCCCGGGGGTGGTCCTCCAGCCGCAGAGCGCGCAGGTCGTTGCCGATGGAGTGCCCCACCAGCACGCGGTCCTTGACCAGCTCACCCACCTGTGGGTGTGTGTGTGGGGGGGGGTTGAGGGGTGAGGGGGGTTGAGGGGTGAGGGGGATATATGAAGAGATGGGAGGGGGATTGGAAGATGGCAATGATGATGGCAATGATGGTGATGATGATGATGATGGCAATGTGCTGCTGCTGCTGCTGATGATGATGATGATGATGATGATTTAAAGTCAAAAGAAACAGCCTTGGATTGGATTGGGAGGAAGGAAAGTGGTGGAACAGCTAAGACACGAAAACCCCTTCGTGAAATGGGCACCGGTACCCCGATGGCGGCTTTAACACTCCCGCGCACGCCTGCACGCGCCCGTACAGCACAGACTGTACTGCACGGACCTGCTTTATGACGTCATCAACCGGACGTCCGCCTGCCAGGTCCGAAGGCCGTACGCCGCTCACCCAGGTCCTGCGAGGGGTACCGTACAATGTACCGTACAGTAATTGTACGACACCAGGTTTAATATCTCTAGAATTTAAAACTCGCAACGATGCGCTAATTCAGGGTTTTGAACACCAAAACACGTTGTTATGATTTGATCAAATCACAACAATTTAATGTTCCGCTTTGGTTCCCCTAAAGGGGACGAAGACGAAGGGGTTCCCCTTGGGAGACGAACTTTAGGTATGTAAACTATAAACAACAAGAACCACAAAATACAGAGAACCACAAACACTTGATACACGCTCACGCATCCAACCAACCAACCAACCTGTGGTCCGTCACCTTTTCCTTGGGCTGTACGAACGTGTCCAAAAGTACGGAACCGGAGCTGTTGACCAGGCAAACCCGCGCCAACGCGCTCTCAGTCCCCTTGGGCCCCACGCCGACCATCTCACAATCGATCGCAAGCACCCTGGTCAGCCCGGCCTCGGTACCCACCACACCGGGACGACGGCCGCCGGGGGCCCTAGCGGCGGCGGGGCCCCCCGCCGCCGCCGCCGCTTTAGCGCGGCGCTTCAGTACAAACTCCGGCGGCGGCGGCTTCTTCGCCGCCGCCACGGCCTGTTTCATAGCCTCCCAATTTGAGTTGGGCGGCTGCGGCGGCGGCCGACGGCTTCCGACAGGCTTCCCGGCGGCGGGGGCAGCAGCATCGGTGGCGGCCGTCGTCGCCGCCGCTGCGGCGCTGGCGGCGGCAGCTGTCGCTGCACATGTCGCTGCCTGAACAGCGGCGTCTGCCGCTGCTCCCATCACTCTAACGGTAACCTTCTTACCCTCATGCTGCTGTTGCTGCTTTCTTCCTTGTTGTCCTTTCTGGTGTTTCTGTTGTTGCTGGTGGTTATTGTTCCGCTCGTTACCCTTCTGCACCCCCTGCTCCGCTCGGGGCCTCGGTGGGGGCCCCTCCAACCCCCCGCAGGCCAGACCGCCGCCACCACCACCACCACCACGGGTAGCAGCGGCGGTCGCGGCGGTACCACAACTATTTGTAATAATATTATCTTTGTTATTCGCGGTAATCCCCTCCCCCTCCCCTTCCCCAGACGCAGACGCCCGTTTCCTGCCTTTCCTTCCCGTGCACAACCGGCTCCCCCCATGTACCCCAGGTTCCAGCTTTTGCCGCTTCGCATTCCGCTCGCCGCCGTCGCCGCCTCCCCCCCTTCCACCACCACGACCGCCATTCGTCGCCCGCTCTGCCGCCGCCTCCGCCACGGGCCGTTTTGCCGGCTTCGCCCCCGGGCGGCCCCCCCCCTCCCCCGCCGGCGGCCCCCTAACAGGTCGCCCTCCGTTCACATGGTTACCACCACCGCCACCGCCACCACCACCGTGAGCCCGCTTGGCCATGTTCCGCGCGCGCGCGAGCGCGTCTCCCTTTCCTTCCCACCCCCCAGATGCCAGATACCCACGGGTCACCAACCCGTTTGTAGACGTGTGCACGTCACCCACAATGCGATTACGTCAGATCAGATGTGTAGTGTAGTGTACGTAACGCTTCCCCCCCACTACAAGTGCAGTAACCAGGGAGAGGGAAAAATACCAACGGCAAATATCCTCCCGCAACAGCAGCAGCTGTAGCAGCAGCGGCACCAATCGAGCTGACGCAGATCGGGACAGAGTGTGTCTGTGTGTGTGTGTAAAAGGGGGGAGGAAGGCGCTGCGTGGCCTAATTAGGCTCCTTCTTGGTTTTGCAATATTCCAACGGCTGCGTCGGATTTTTTTAAGAAAATTCCTGTTGCTGCTCCTGTTGCTGTTGTTGTCGTTATTCCAGTTACGGTTTTGGCGGCGGTTGAGGTTTGCGGTCCAGGAGCGCTCGCAGGCTTTCTGGGGGCAGACGGGGGAAGAGGAACCCCCGTGGTGCCCCGCGGGGGAAGAAGACCGCGCCGGGGGGGGGAGGGGAGGACGGGGGGAAGACGAACCACGAACGAGTGAAGGGGGAGGCGGGGGCCGAGAGGACTGACTAGCCCGACAGGTGAGGGACATGAGGGGACTTCGAGGAGCAATATCTCAGGGTTTGTGTGGTGATGGTACGATGCGCAAAACCGCCCAGTGGGGCTGACCTGCGGGTCGCGCGGCACACGCTCAGTTCCCCACCCCCACCCCCCTATCCCCCAATGAAGGGGGAGGGAGGGGGGTTGGAGACCACATGCCACTGGGGGACCCACCGCCAGAGAGTATTACGGCGGACGACAGAGCACAAGGTATTGGACATAATTTATTTTCTGGAGGACAGGACCGGACCGGACACGGACCGGAACCGGACACGGACACAGCACCGCCTTCACTCATAAGGTTACTAAGAGCCCTACCGAGTCCCCCGAGTCCCTAGGTCGGCGCCGGCTATGGCACCCGCCCCCCGGGGTACATATCCAGTTCCCCGCCTCACCACCACCCCACCACCACACACATGGACATTTACAATCCTCCCCCCCCCACCACACACACACCACCACCACACACAGCTCATTCATCAACACATACAAAAACACACACATGTATCCCCGCAGCCAGCCGAATCAACAGTCGCCAACCAGCACCCCCCGGGTGCCACGTCATTGCGTCGTACCTGTAGCCGCGTTTAATTGCTCGTCCCGTTTGGTCAGCAGGAAGACGTCCCCGCTGCGGTAGTAAACTCTCTGGGAGTGTAATGGTGTTTGGGGGGGGGGGTGCGGGTGAGGGGTGACCTCAGCGGAGAGCGGCAACGAGGGGCTCTGTATGTAAGTAGTGTACACAGTGCGGCAGTGGTGGGTGGCGCTGTTCAATACTAGATAGGACAATCCGAATGTGTTCAAATGGCCAGAAGCCTCCCACCCTGTAACAACAACAGCAACAACAACAACAACAATAACAACAGCAAAAGCGGGCGGGCGAATGGAGCAAATACCAATCTACCCATAAGGGGGCCCCCCTGCGCCACATCCCCCCCCCACGTCCCGGTGGCCCCCCCCCTCAAGGACCGAGGACAGGGGACAGGACAGTCCTACAGCCAGCAGGCCACAAATCATTAGGCTGGGCCCCCCCCCAAATCCCCAAAGGCTGTTCATGTTCCTGCTTGTGTAAATGACCGGCTGGCTGGCTGGCCAACAAGTGGATGCAAGTCGCGAATCGTGTCGCACCCCCACTCCGGATCGGGGGTGTCTGGGGGTGTCTGGGACGGGGAATGGGAGCGCCATCGTCTCCAACAGCCGTAGGGTACGGGGCACACGAACTTGTATGTATGTATGTATGTATGTATGTATGTATGTATGTATGTATGTATGTATGTATGTATGTGCAATGCGAAGGCGATGTTGTAGGGGCAAGGAACACCTAGGCAAGGGCTACAACTTACCCGCCCCTGCTTCAGGCTCCGAAGCTCCGCGACAGCGACCTGCAGCTGCCGAACCTGGGTAGAAAGCGGTTCAAACACGGGTTGGCGCGCAGGAGGAGCTTCAGGATGAAGTGCAAGGGGACTGGGAGCACGCGGCATATGACTCGCGCGACCATCTTTTAGGTTGTGCCATGCAGCTGCGGACCGGGGCAGATGATACGGCCTTTAGGGAACGAAGAGGGAGCAGGAGTTCGAAAGGTTGGCACAGGCGATGACACCCACCCGGAGTAGTCACGGGTGGCGATGCATAAGCAAGCGCGTACTACGTGCTAGACTGTATTCCTGAAGTTGGGATAACGATACTATGAAGAAAGAAGCGTCCGCTAGGCAGCGATTAGGCATAGCGGCGGCTTAATAGGCCCACTGTGCACAATCTGAGCTCTAAACATAAATACCACTTCAGTAACTGACAAACCTGTTGCTGGTCGACGCTAGTAGAAGGAGCTGCTGTGGCGGTAGACGTTTGGGTTTCGACGGGCGCAGCAGCTTGCTTCGCGCCAGGCACGGTCATAGTTTGGCTAATAACTGCCGCTGTAATTTGCTTTCTAAATGCGCTAAGTGTCTATAATTGAAGCCTATGGCGTTTGGGCGACAAAGTGGTTAGCGTTTGTCGTATGAAATATTGCCAAGTACCACATCAGCTGCGCAGAGGCTTGCTCTACAGAAATTTCCCTAGGATGCTTCACGGAAATCATGGTAAGATGATTTTCTTTTATGATGGTCGTTTACAGGTTTAAGTTGCGGTACGTACGGTGGAGCCAAATAGCCATGGCTTCAACTGCAAGGCTTCTACTGCAAGTGAATCTCTCACCCATGATGCTTCACCATTGCACCCATCGTGTCTATCCATACCTGCTGCATGCCATAAATACTTTTTGTCCAATTTTGCTCCTCGTATTTTGGTATAGAAAGAAGCCGACTACGGTACGGCAATTTCAAAAGCCCAGCCCTATTGACACACGGAACCGGTATGTCTCGGGCAAAACGCATGTTCTTAGGTGGCCATTATGTAATTGATGCATAAGTTACCACTGCTGGACTAGTTTTTCAGGCCTTGTGAGAGGCGGACGAAATATATATGCGCTGATGTTCTTTGCCAGTTCCCCCAGGACATGGATCGTTAACGGCAGGAACAACTGTTGACCAAGACCCTGCAGACTGTAAACTTTGCACAAACCGAGAAGCGGAGCGCCGCTTCTTGTATTGTTTGATGGCATGTAGTTACCAGCAACCCCCGCCAGAACAGGCTGATAGAACACGGGACACCAAACCTTGTTTTCTCCTACAGCTGCCCTTTGGCGACATTTACATCACCCCCAACCCCGCCCAGGAACCGAGAGCAGAGGCCATGAGTGATCAGCAGCAGCCGCAGTGACACCCCTTTTCACGTTACAGAAACGCTACGAAAAGCGGCACACAACGACGACGAAGGCGACTGGACAGCAGTCGCAGCAAAAGCGCTGCCGACATAGACGCGGCCTCCCATCGCGCCGCCCCAGATGCACTTGCTGCTCGCTCTCCAACTGCCGCTGCTGCTGCCGCCAACGCCGCTGCAGCAGGGAGGGCTCTCCAGCTCCTGGACCGCTGCTTTACAGGCGGCGACCGCGGCGACCACCCTTCCGGCGGGTGCTGTCCGTGGGGATCGGCGTCACGTCCTCTGCGTGCACAAAAGCCATAAAAAACCCAACCCAGATGGATAACAACAGGAAGGGAAGCCCATATGCCAAAATGTGAAGCAGCGCGAATACAGAATGTAAAGCACCCATCGCCGGCGGGATATCCACGCGCGCAGTGCCATATAAAGGAAAAACAGAAGGGCCAACGTGAAGAGCCGACAGACAAAAAATGCGTCGACGGGGACCACGGCAGGAAAAGCGGCACGGAGGACGAGCGACGGAGGGAACAGAAGGGGGAAGTCGGTGAGGAGGGGAACTACTACCGTATTCCCCAGGTGCTTTCACCCACATGCGTCCAACATGGCATCCATAAACTATACCGATATCCAATACCAGTCACATCCAAGCATGCACCACAACAAGCCAGATGCCACACCAGGCCAGACCCGCAGATGTTTCGCAGTACCATCCACAAACCTCTTTCCCCGGGCACACGAGATGTATATACAATGGCCCGGAAGCTGTAATCCAAACACGCGACGCTCTAAGGTCGCCAAACCGAGGGGTGATTGGGGTGTAGGTTATCTGCCCCGCGCTGGCTTGGCAGGCGCACGGCATGCCTGGCTGCTTTCCTGGAGGACTAAACTATGCAACCCCCTCAGCCCCCTGCTGCGCCCCATGGAGACAATCCTCGGAAAATGCAATTAGGCCACTTTAGCGCCCTTACAGTGGCAGTCTGTGCTAAGCTAGGTGGCAAGCTTGGACAGTCCCGAGCGCTGACATTTCGACAACAAGCCCATCGGCAAAATTTATAACCTCTATCAACCCACTGGAGGTTATCCCATTTTGTATGCCCGGCCCAGACACCCACCAATGCGGCCAATCTTCATGCCCGCACGGGCCAGAGCGCGCAGGGCAGACTGAGCACCTGGGCCCGGCGTCTTAGTCCTGTTGCCTCCAGTGGCGCGCAGCTTAATGTGCAGCGCGGTGATGCCCAGCTCCTGCGGAAATCGCATAACCAAATCCAGAAAAGCGCCGCTGAGCGAATAGAGCAGCCTCCATTTCGGGACTTTCAAATGAGGTAAAATGAAGATATTTGTGTATACTTCCGCAAAAGCCCCAGGGAGGAGTGCTTGCTAATGCCGCCCCCGGCCGCCACTCTCCGGTGCCGGCGCCACGCTGCTGCAATCTGGACTCCTACTGCTCGAGCAGTTTCCCATCATGGGAACTAGCACATGAGGCAGCCATGCGCTGGCATTGCTGCTGCTGCAGGACGCCACTACACCGACTTTCTGCTTCAAAATCAAGAACGCCCTTCGCATATACCTTGCACTTCTGGGCCACATCCTGAGCTGCAAGCATAGCCGCGTAGGGCGAAGACTCATCGCGGTCGGCCTTGACCTTCATGCCGCCAGTGACGCGCGAGATGGTTTCCCGGCCAGACAAGTCAGTCACATGAACGAAGGTGTCGTTAAAGCTGGCAAAAATGTGGGCAACGCCGAAGACATGCTCGCCCTCGCGCACGGTCGGGCCCAGGCTGACCACCTCCTTGGGGGCGTCATCGGCCTTGGCAGACTTCTTAGGGGCCATGGCTGCTTTTAAAAACTGGTGGCACCCGCAGGCAACGGGGCTAGGCTATTCAGCACAAGAGAGGAATGCTCGTCTGCAGGGCGTGGCGCTAAGGCAGAAGAATTTTTATGTACGGCAGGAGGCCCACCGGGGTTAATAATAACAACCTGCGAAACGGTCAATACCAGACGCTCTTTACTTGTCCTTCCTAGTATTGAATACGCTGACACTTTGTACTGTTAAAAATTTAGGCTTCTGAGACTGAAAAGCCCAGCTCATTACTCGTCATCCGTTACAGTGTTTTCCGGCGTAACCTGAGTTATGATTACCGTTGTTATGACCTAAAAAAGTTACAGTGTTGGAGCCAGCATTGACTACCTCGTTTTTACGACATAGTGTATGGGCAACTAGTTCAGCACTTTTGAACGCCTGAATGGGGCAGTCTAAGTCGAAGCATGTGTACGCCTTCCAGCCCCTGCCATGGCCAGAAGCCCTGACGGCATTCCGCCTTGTCGACCAGGTGTGCAAACGCTACTGCCAGGGAAGGCAACTGCAAACAAGCTGAACGTCTAAGTAGCCACGGGGTTTTAGCTTCTTTTACAAGTAAAGTTTGCCCATCGTGTAGCCATATCCCCATGGTCAGATTCTCAAAGGAAGGACTCCTTGACCGCATTCCTCGTACCTGTGACAGATATGCGGCATCGCGTCCACCTATGCGACAACCCATTTGGACAAGCATGCCACAGTTGTGCTGGATAAAGTCAACGAACTTCAGGTGCGGGAAGCCAGCATGGTTTTGGTTCGAATGGACTTCCGCTAGCTGCCTGTCGACGGCGTTGACAGCTTTCCAACGAAGATGGTCTCGCAACGTGCTGTCCCTCATTATGAGATGAAGCTCCATGCTCATACTGATAAGCGCCCTCGTAAGGCAGTATGAGCACTTGCGCAAAGGCCATGTGCCGAGTATGGCTGACCTGCTGCGAGTTGCACCGGATTGCGTTTGCCAGCACCCTAAGCATATTCCAGACACAAAGCCTCTGCTTAGCCATAACGCAGTAACTTGAACCGCCTCTTTCAAAGTCCCTGTCAAGGACTTTAATGAAGAATTCTCCAGCCCACACTCCAGCATTTCTGATAGGCGCAAACTCACCGTTCTAGCCCTACAGCATTAAGCCCTAGGCATTTCCAGCCACGCCTCTGCCTCCGCTCCTCATAAGCTAGCACCACAACCCAAATGCTCAAAATCAACACCTCGCCCGCATCCGTCCCATCTCCACATGGTACGCGGTACGGTACGTGGTCACGTTCGTACAGCGCCTGCCGTACCTTTGGGATGCTTTTGAGTCGGATATTGAGCGGCTGCGGGGCACCCACATGGTCCGCTTGGCCACGGAACTCCACAACGCACTTGACAAGTTGGAGGGGTGCGTTGACTCCGGGGGATTGGGGAATTACATGGTTTGACCCGGGGAATGGAGCTGCAGGGATGGAGCGGTGACTAGGGTGACGGGTGGTTAGAGCGCGGGAGAGGAGGGTGATGATATGGGTGGCGCTGTAGAGCACGCCGGAGCATGCCTGGGGGGGTGTTTCTTGGGCTGCCGGCGCCGCGGCGGCTTCAGGTCGCCGCAGTGGAGGGAGGGGTGTGTATGGCACGGAGGTTGCGGTAGGGGTGTGTATTGAAAGGGGGGAAAGGGGCCACCGAGATTGATCTGGGTCGGCCGAATGGAAGGACATTGCGCGGGCCTTCTAGCCGCGTGGGTAGTAGGAGGGGTGTGTTGGAGGTGGAGGACGTGTGCAGTGCAGGCTGCAGGAAGGATTAGGAAACTCTTTCCGACGGATGGATGAGTGGATGGATAGATGGATAGATATATGGATTCCTAGCTTTATAATCCATCAACACAGTTCCCCTTCGGAGAGACGATGTATGTTTAGATATATGGATGGATATGCTTTTAAAACTTGTACGGTCCAAACAGACCTGAGGGCTGATCTTGTTCTTTGTCCTTCGCGGGGGATGTCGCACAGGACCCCCCCCCATTCCCCATTTCGTCCTTTGCGTCCTTGTCCTGCGATAACCGTAACTGTGATCTGGACAATCTGGGTGTCTGTCTGTATGTGTATCTGTACGCCGTAATTTTGATTTGGGTTGCACTTCTTTTGCACGTTTTACACATAGATTCATGACACGTGGTCCATATCTCTCTCGCACGTGCATGTATACACGCGCGCCGCTTTTTGTTCCGTATCCCTTTGGTGCCATGCTCCGATAAGCCGTACTATTTTGTACGACATCCCGCAGATGCAAGTACGACATGGGTCTTCTGGCGGAGAAGGATCTCACGTTTAAGTGAGGCGGGGGGTTTGGGGGAGGGAAGGACGGGGGGTAGACGGACGGCCGCGTCACTGGTTGTGTGTTTGTGTGGGGGGGTGCGATGCCAGCTCGGACGCTCGGCTATGCCTTGCGTAGAAGGCTTCCTCGTTACATAACTTTCAAAATTATTGCTACAACCATCAGCAGCAGCAGCAACAGCAGCAGCAACAGCAGCAGCAGCAACAGCAGCAGCACAAGAAAATATCGATGGCAAGGACAGCTGCCTGTGGCGTTTGTTTTCACGTTCGGGGGGGCCGCAACCGAGGGCGGGTGAAGGGGGGTGTCCATATTGTTGTCCGTATCTGCTACGGCTCTCGTCTCTTGTCTTTTTTTATTGAATAACCGTCACTGCGTATGTATGTTTGTGTCATAGAATTCGTGTTTCAGTAATCCTATCAGTGAAAGCTCGGCTGCTTTGTAACTGGCATACCAATTCGTAATACCGGCATCCCTTACGCAATTCGACAGTTTCTAAGGACAATTTTTACTGTTTCTAAGAACCCGTGAGTGTGTACACAATTGCCGCCGTAATTTTACACATCCATGATAAAACGTACGGCGAAGCCGTTGTGTCAGTTGCGCCGCAGTTAATTTAATGTTTGCTGTTATTTCCCTCTCCCTGGACTGCCGCCGTTTTCCTCTTGGTCTCCAGATCGAGGCGTCAGGCGGCTGAGAAGGCACTGTCGCTTTTGAGGGAGGTGGAGGAGGCGCACAGAGCATTTCACTATGCATTCGAGCTGGCGTTGTACGGCAGCTTGCAGGTGAGAAAGTTGTACGGCAATTCGCGAATGAAGGTACGATAGTAAGGACGCGGTAAAAATGTAACGGTGAGAAAATGGTTGGTTGGTTGGTTGCCGTCCGATTGATGTATATAATGTACCTGAAAGTGACGTGAAGAGATTTCTATTCATTCCCTGTTTTGTTTGAAACATGTTTGATATCTGTTCAATGAGCGTTTGACCTAACGGCGTTGGTGCAAATGATGTGATTGTGATCTGCAGCGCGAGCGAACGGAGGCGGTAGAGTTCCACGCGCCCCTTCAAGGGACACTTGGAGAAGGGGAGGCGCCAGATTCACCCACGTTGGTGACGGCGCGCGGTGCCGAGTATGGCAGCAGCGGCGGCGGCGCCGCCGCCGCCGCCGCGGGTCTCCGGCGCGCACTGAAGGAGGCCTCCGCCGCGGACCTGGCGGCGCCGGCGCCGTTGGGGTTGTCACCGCCCCCGCCGCCGCCGGCGCCTGAGGAGTCGTGGCTTCAGGACACGCGGTCGCCGTCAGCGGACCGGGCCGCCACAGTACGGCAGTCATTGGTCGACGCTGGCGAGCTTGTGCCGGCGTCGCCGCGGCGGACGCCGCCGGCGGCGGCTGCACCGCGACCGGCTTCACCCCGGCCGGCGTCGCCGCCGCCGCCGCAACTAACGCGGCGTCCGATGACAGCCGACGCAAGTACGATGGCGCGGCGGGTCGAGCAATCGGCGGCGCCGCCGCCGCTGCAGCGGCCGCGGTCGGCTCGTCGGCCGTCGTCTTCCAGGTCGCATTCGGGACGTCGCGGGCACGAAACCGACCGGCGGGGTCGAGTCTCCGAAACCACTGGCCAGCAGTACGTCGTTATGTACATGCCGCAAGGGCCCAACGGCAGCGGCCCCCGAGCCATCCTGGTCCCTGCCAATGCTCTGCAGCCGGCGCCCAACTCTCCAGGCCCGGCGGCGACATCAACGGCGGCGACGACTGTCATTGGTGGCGTCAGCCCTTTCGAGACAAATGCGCGCGCCGTGTACGCCGCGATGCCGGCGGTGACGGCGGCGCCACTGTCACCGCAGGCGGCGGCGGGCTGGGGTGGCGGGCCGTACATGTCAGCTGCTCTGCCGATACAGCCACTGCCGCAGTTGCTATCCCAACCGCTTTTGCAGCAACAGCAGCAGCAGCAAGCCGTCAAGTACTCGCACCCGCCGCCATTGCCATCGGCGATGGGACCCCTACCGCCGCCGTCGCCGCCGCTGGTCCCGTACCGAAGCCCCACAGTCGACGGCAAACTGCCGTACAGCGGCGCAGGCGCGGCCCCTACATCGACTTATCTAACGCAGAATTATAGTGGCGGCTCGGCAGGGTCGTACAGCTTGCCGTACACGTCGTCGGCACACGCGCACCGGTCGGGGTCGTACCGCTACTTCACTCCGTCGCCGGTCACAACACAGTCACCTGCTCCCGCGTCCATGGCCCCCCTGCACACCGCTCCTGCAAGCGTGTACGGGCATCCGTCCTCTCCCCTATACGACATGTACGGAATGTACGGCACTGGCCTGAACCACGCCAGGAGGTCAACGCTGTCCCCAGCTTTATCGTTGACGGCGTCGGGCACCCCGAATTTGAACGCCTATTTTGACCGACCGGCGCTAAGCGGCGGTGGAAGTAGCGGTGGATTTGTATCGCCGCTGGCGGCGCCGCCGGCACTGCTGTCCGGCGGCGGCGCCGCCACCGCTGGCGGCGCAAGCGAAGGCGCCGCACATGGATTTTCCCCCGCGAGGGTCCGCTTCGTGGGCCGTGGAGCTGGCGGCAGCGGAGGCAGCGGCGGCGGCGGCGGCCGCCACGGGTACGATGGCGCGTACGAGAGCGTTGGCGAACGTGACTATGGCAACGCCGAGGCGGACCCCGAGGGGGGTGATTTTGCTCGGGGAAGCAGCGGAACAGACCGCTCCCATCACACGTACACGTACGGCCCGCAGGGGAGCCATGCCGTGCCACCGTATCTGAAACCGTACGGTAGCGGCAGGGGCATGGATTTGCCCGATATGTACGACCCTGCTAGGCGATACAGCGGCGGTGGCGGCGGCAGTGGACGTGATCGCAGCGGCGGTAACGCTCTGGAGCTGGTGAGTCATTTTCGGGGTCCGTCATGGGTTGATGATTATGAAGAGTACGACGGCCCTGACTGGCCTGCCGCTGCCGTGGCGCCGCGGCGACGACGGTCGTCGTCGTACACGCCGACGGCGGCGACGCGGCTGTCCTCGCCGCCGCTAATGGCCATGACTTCTCGCGAAACCGAGGTGGACGGCATACCGTTGACCACGGCGGCAGCCGCCGCCGCCGCCAGGCGGCGACGCAGTAGCCCGCCGCGGCCCAGCTCTGCCCGTACGATGCCGCTGCTGTCGTACGAGCGAATGGCAGCTCTGGCGGGGCTTGATTCGGAACTCCTCGGTGGCGGTGCAGCTGCCGCCCTGGCCGCGTCGCCGTCGCCGCCGCGAAGAACCTCCCCTCCGCCGGCGATGGTGGCGGCGGCGGCGGCGCAGCCGCCGCTGCAGCGGCCCTCTAGCCACCTTGTCCCTGGTGAGTCTTTGCTGCAGCGCGCTGAGCAGCTGGCGGCGGCGGTGGACGCCGGCGACTGGTCGGCCGCGGTGGACCTTGGGGGCCTTGTGCGCGGCGGCTGGTGGGGTGACTCTCGTGATGTCGCTGTGGCACGAGGCTTGCTGCTGCAGGCTGCTCTCCGCGGTGGGTCGGGTGGGGTGGGATGGGGTGGGGTGGGCGGAGTAGGGAGGGGGGAAAGGAGGGGAGGAGGCGGTAATCATTTTTTCACCGTACTATACTACTACTACTGCTGCTACTACTACTATTACCACTACTCCTACTATAGCTGTTGGTGTTTTATTTCCAATAACATATATGAGTTATACATATACTGGGTTATAGATATGTAATGCCCCCGGAGGTTCCGGGATCGAGACCTGTCAGGTTCGAAAATTCTTCCTGTGAAGGAAGGTAAATGTGCCCCTAGTCGATGGACGGAGGTGACCTGGGATAAAGTTAACTAGCGAGCTGATCAGGAATGGAGTTGAGCCGCTGTCGACCCGGCAGATTCCGTTGGATGCTGGTGGTGGGTGCGGAACCTGAGCGATCCACTGAGAAGTTGACTAGGGTGACTGGATGAGGGTGCCCCGAAATACCGGGGAAGGCAGGGTTTCGCAGGGTAGCTGCCACGGGCGAAGATATGACCCCCCTGTCCCACACATCATATAACACCCAATCTTCCTCTCCCCCGTTGTACCGCCCCGCCACATCAATACAAAACACACATAAAAGCCAACCCCCCTTTTTTCCTCCCCCGCTACTATTTCGCACGTACATACATACATACATACACATCTCTTCAGGCGGTTCTGTTGAGGCTCACGCGATGTTGGGCCTTATGGCGGAGCGAGGGGAGGGGCTCCCGGGCTCCCGGCCCGACCTGACGGCGGCTGTACGACACTACGGGGCGGCGGCGGCGGGCGGCCACCGGGACGCCACCACCTCGCTTGCATACCTGCTGGTGTGTGTGTATGTCTGTGTGTGCATATATGTGTATGTGCGTATGTATGTATCTATGTGTGCACCAGCTGCGTCACGTCCTGTAGGGGGGAGTTTGTAGGGGGGAATAGTTCTCAGGTGATGTTTTCTGGCCCCCGTCCTTTCCCGCCGGGGAAAACCCCGAGCGGCACGGTCGGGCATGGAGCTCTCGGTGGAACCCCTCCCTTTCCTTTCTTCCTCACCCCCCTCCCTTCACTCCTCTGTGGCTCGCCCCTCCGCCGTTTCTGGGGCTTAATGACGCGCAGGAGCACGGACTGGGCGTAGAACAGGATGAGTCCCGTGCCGTACAGCTCTACGCCGCCGCCGCGCAGCGAAACTGCCCAACCGCCGCCAACAACCTCGCCAAGATGATTCTAGACGGCCGCGGCGCCACGGCGGCGGCGACCGCGGCGGCGGCGGCGGCCGCTGGAGCTGAGGGCACCGAGGGTACATCGCCGGCGTCCTTAGCCCAGACGCTGTTCCGACGAGCCGCTCGGGGGGGTTCGGCGTCAGCTTGGTATAACCTAGGTGTTTGCCATTTGCAGCAGCTGAAGATGAAGGTTAAAGGCGCCAGCGGCGATGCGGTGGCAGCGGCAGCGGCGGCGGCTCCGCTGGCGGCGGCGGCGCGGGAGGATTTGGAATCTGAGGCGCTGCGTTGCTTTGCGGAGGCGGCCAAACGCGGCCATGCGCGAGCAGCGCTCCGTGCGGGCTACCTCCACCTGCAGCGCAGCACCGCGGCGGCGGCAGTGGAGGCCTTTTGCGCCGCTGCACTGAACGCTGCGGCGGC